TTGAAAATATTAAGAAACTATCATTATTATTTAGGTGCAACAGTGGTATTGTGGTTGGGCTTTTTCAAGCCCTTACCTTTAATACTGGAGGGGAGGAAAAGAGGTGGGTGGGTAGAGGTGCAGGTGAAACAGATTAGTCAAGAGTCAACTGTTGAAGCTGGTTAGAGGTACATCGGGACTCACCATATTATTATCTCTAATTATAAACCTAAGTAGTATATGTTTGAAATGTCCATAATAACAAGTTTTAAGAGAGAAGATACATATAGGGTATCAGAAGAAGCACTGCTTTGGAATAGGATATTTATGGGTTCAAATCATAGGTCTATACCAATTGTGGCCATGGCCTTTTAGGACTGAATATCACTTTCTATACTTTTGAAATGGATGATAGTAAAGTTACTGTCACAAAGATAAAATAATATACAGTGTTTAGCACGGTGAGGTGCACACTGTAGTTAATAAACCTAAGTGCCTTTGACAGGACCCTTGGGTCATTACATCTCAGGTGCACGACAGCCACATTCCTAGAGTTCAATCAGGCCAAATACAATTTTGTACAATCACCATTTAACAAGAGTATTTATAAGATAGGATGCAAAAAAGAAGCATAAAAAATACCTCTGGCTCAAATACACATCTTTCAAAGACAATAATTACCTATCTATCTAGGCTTTCTTTCCAAAAAGAATTAATTCGGCTCCACAATGGACGTTTTGATAAAGATGAACGACTTATTAAAACATCACAGTAGAACATATAAAGGATTTTACTGCCAAAATGTCTTTCAGATAGAAGTATTTCCTTTTAACAGTTCCACTCACAACTACAACATCTTCCTGCTTCTTTCCTCCTAACTCCTCTGTGAGACTGCCCTACATACAGCAGGAGCCAATAATCCTCCTCTTCCAGTCCTACCCAACACTTAGTATCTGCCACTATCTCTACCCCAAAGCTCGAAGAATGGTCATTTCTGATTTCCGCTGAATCAATACAGTAGCTAAATAAGATAGTACTGGCAACAGTTCTAGAGTTGCCAGGAAGAGGGTATGTGTGTGTTTAATGTTTGTTTTTGTGGGAGATTTTTTTTAAAGGAGCTGAAAGTATAAGGGAGTTTGATCTCCCTCCCTCTCTCTCTCAGGGTTGTCATAAATTACCAGCATTTCTTTTACTTAAGCAGTTTATGAGAGGAGGTAAAAAAGGAATAAGACAGAAATACACCTCCTGAGCAAATGTAAACATATTAATAATTGGAATTTTTCTCAAACTGGTAACTTCATACTCCAAAGTATGGCAGCAATAAACTGCTGTTTTCAGTTCTCAAAACTAAAAATGCTTGCAAACTAAAGCGAGAACTCATGTAATGTATAAAGCTTCTTGCCAGCTGGGCTCTGCGCTGCTTATTCACCATCTCCTCCCCCTTCTCTGCAGTCCTGGGGGGTGGGCTGTGGCTCCCTCTAGAAGGGGCTGCTGTACTCCCACCTCCGGGATGGGAGGCGTTGGCGGCAACCAGAGGATGAAGGGAGAGAGACTGGGGGAGCCCTGGCCCCACTAGCATCTGCCTCAGTGCAGTGCTTCTGGCGATGCCAACACCCCTGCAACTAGCTCCTGCTCGGCAGGCAGCCCTCCCCCAGCTGTGGCTCCCACAGGCCTTCAGGAACACTGGTTCCCGCCTTGCCCCGGCAGGACTCTTGACACTACCCAATGCTGCCAGGCCCTAGGCACCTCAGCATTCCTTGTGGGTTCCCTTAACCTGACTGCCCTTCTTTACTCACTTAAGCTATACTCAGAGCCTCACACCTGCCTCCCGTGAGGACCTGGCACAGGCTCCCGCACCCGATCTCAGACCACAGCGTCCCCGGCTACTGCCACTAACTGTCACGGAAGCGTATCAACCTCACAGACAAACCCTCTGCTTCTGCCTCAGCTTTCTCATCTATCACCCCCAACTTTGCCTTAAATATCTTTCCAACATCGCCATTCATTCGTTTACAATATAGTTTATAATTCGACATGTCCACAAAGCTTTCTCGAATTCAATTTATCGACACTGTACAACCACCTACTAGTTTGAAAGCAATGTGTCAACGTTTCCCCTTTGTAAGCAGCAGGACACCAAGATTCTGCGATGAATAAACACTAACAGGCTCTTACTTGGCTTCAGTGAAATTCATTCTTCCTCTCCAGGGCATTGGTCAACCGTCAGTAACGTAGAGAACCTGCCATCTGGAACTGTATCACTTTGCAATCACTGATGTGGATGTTGAAGACCTCATAATCTTTCCAAGATACAGAATGGTCGAGGAACAAATTGATTATAGTAATGCTGTGCATGAGACAATGTCACACATGGGGTGATCAAACCACTTCTCAGTTGAGAGGAGGAAGAAGAGGTAGAAAAGAAATCCTAAGTAAAAAAACCCACAAATACTCCCTGCTTTCTCTCCCTTGAACACATCAGTAGACAACTTGTTACTGGCTTCCTAAAAGAGTGACAGAGAACTCTTACTCTCAAAGTAATCTTGGTCTGTTGCTTATTTGTCTCAGTATAAAATGGAAAAGTAAATAAAATAACACTCCACGAAATTGTTGTTTGATGTAAGGCTAATAACTGGCTCTCAGCTACTTTAAACAAAGTCGCAATCACTCCTTATGCAACAAATTCTCTCAATGACTTAAACCTTTTGGCTTACAAAGAAGAGTGCAAAACAGATGTAATATTAAAGTCCCTAATTATGCATGATAATTCCTTGATAAGACCCCCTTTCAACAGTGCCAACAATTTATTTACTAACATCAATTCCAGATATGAATTCAAATTTTGGCAGAAAATTAAATAACATGGTGTCAGCAAGTCTTCCCTTAAATATGTTTCTGTTCAGCAGAAAACAAAGGGACATCTACATGTTATAAACTATCAGATGCTTCTGGCTGCAAATAACAGAAGACCCGATTAGAAGTGTCTTCAATAATTTGGATATATATTATCTCTCTGAATAACAAATCTGGAGACAAATGACTCCAGGGTTGGGTCAGAAACTCAAAGCAGTATAAGGACACAATTAGTACATCCGGGATTCTCATGAGCATAAATGGCTGCAGGAACTCCAAACACTGTAATCTCATACAACAGCATCCAAAGCAGGAAGAAAGATGATTTTGGAGGTCACAAGCCAGTTTCTTCATAATAGGAAGGAAGATCTGCTTCGGAAACCACTCTCCTCATATCTCAATGGCCAGAAATGACTTAAATCATTTAAGTATTTAATAATTAAATCTGACCCTTAAATCACACACTGGCAAGAAAGAATGGGTTGCCATTATTATATCAATTCCTATATGATTGGGCCCCAAAACATGCTAGAAAGAAGAGAATGAGGTGTTGTATAGACAAGCACCAAATGTAGCACTCAGAAAAGTTCCTGCATAAGTAATTTAAGCCAAATATTTGCTTCAAGTCCAGAGGAGTGGAATAAATTGCAAAAAGGGGAAGGGCCAGTACATGCAAACACCCTAAAGGGGCCGCGAAGGAGACGAGGCTGAACAGGCAGCCAGGTGAGAGCCATGGGGCACTGAAGAAAGTGTGGCCCATCTGAGGCCTCCAGTTCTTAACCTGGTTTAACTTCGTACCACTTTGAATTTCAGCAAACTACAGCAAGGGTTAGAAATAAACAGATACTCTTTCTGCAACCTTCACACAAATACAGACAGACTAGCTTTGGCCCACACAACAGAAGTTACGACACCTTAATCTCTTACTATGCATCAGATACTGTTTACAGAGCCTTACACCTCTTATCTCATTTCTCTTTTTATTTTTTTTATTTTATTTTATTTTATTTTAGAGACAGAGTCTCGCTTTGCTGCCCAGGCTAGAGTGAGTGCCTTAGTGTCAGCCTAGCTCACAGCAACCTCAAACTCCTGGGCTCAAGCAATCCTCCTGCCTCAGACTCCCGAGTAGCTGGGACTACAGGCACACACCACCATGCCCAGCTAATTTTTTCTATATATATTAGCTGGCCAATTAATTTCTATTTATAGTAGAGACAGGGTCTCGCTCTTGCTCAGGCTTGTTTCAAGCTCCTGGGCTCAAACGATCCTCCCGCCTCGGCCTCCCAGAGTGCTAGGATTACAGGCATGAGCCACCGCACCCGGCCTCATTTCTCTTTTTAAAATAAAATGCTATGCATTGGGTACCATCGATGTCCTCATCAAATATCCATCAGCCTTAGAGAGAAAAGCAGTTCCCCACAAACACGTAAGTGCCAGGGGCGAGGCAGGGGACAGTCTGCATGCAGCTCTCTGAATGACAACCAGGCGACTGAGTTCACAGAAGCTAAACACAACTGATGAAATGGCTGCTCTCTCCCAGATGTTCGATAGTCACCCGGGAACAGGGGTTTCTGGTTCACAAATATGGCTTGAGGGCCACATATTTCCCAAAATGACAACCATAACCACCTGATTTCTACACAGAAACTATGAAAGAGAGCAGCACCAGTACTAGGACTAAGTATCTCTGCCATGGACAGAAATCAATTGGAAGCATGATTACAGGATACTGCAAATTCTTCAGATCTTAAAAAAGCCTTTCAAAATCTACAGTCAGTGCTAGTCCCTGACATGGCACCTTGAACTACAGGTGTGGGGAGAGAAAGAGTATGGGTGCACCAATATAAGCACGTCATTTACCCACCTCTGTGTAAAAGACCTAACAGTAGGAAGTCCGGCACAATCCTGTCCTGCAGTGCTTTCTCATATAACACAGTATTTTGAAGAACAGCATCTGTAGCCTATTCTCACTGCTCCACTTCATCCTAATCCTAAAATTATCTGAAATCATTAACTTTCTCTTAAACAACTTTCTCTGTCATTGTTTAATGTTTTTCTCTTCTACACCATAACCTTCTGTTGTATTTATTTATGGAACCTCAGCACTTGGCACTTCTAGAACTTTCTCTCCAAGCAGTGTCATATAGATAATTAGGTCCATGTCTTACCAGCATTCATATCTTTAAACTTCTGTTTTAGCTCAGTAGGAGTAAGACGGTACTGATCAAGACCATCATTCCAATAAATTCGGTCCAGGACTTGAAGATCTCCTCCAATCAGCCAATCTCCTTGTTCCATAACCATCTAATTGGAAGAAAAACAAAATTTTTAAACAGAAACCAAGATCAAAATAAGTAAAAACATTTCTCTCATCCAAACTACCATTGTTGCAAATTACTCTCACCTTAAAGTCAATGGTAAATCCATTTGATTTATCAACTAACTTGGGATTCAAGATGCTACAGAATTGGAATATACTTCGTAATTTCTCAAAACACTTGTGAAACAACTATTATTTTTCCACGTAGAAGGCAAACAAAATCAATGTGAATAACAATTATGACCTTTAAGTGACAAAAACATTCCTTTCAATGTTGTTGCGTGTTGATTAACAGAATAATTTGTAACCCTGGGTCACCCCACCCTCTGGGTTCTCAATCCCAATCTTTCAAAGAATTAATAATCTGTGAGTTAGACACAAATTCATGCCTTACAATCACCACAGCACCTCAAATTTCTTACACCTTCATGCATCTTCTTTCCCTGTATCTGAAAGGAGGAGACATTATTACCCTCTCGAACCTGTTCGTTTTTACCAAGCGGCTCAAACCTCCCTTTTCCCCACGCTGCTGTCTTACATGCCAATAACGCACCCAGTCTCTTTTAAAGCTCAAAGTCTACTTTAACACACCTAACAACCGTCAGAAATTTGACTTTGATAACATTCCACGTACAATACATAAAATAAATGAGGTGCTTGGGGGAGACTAATTATATTTCACTGCTTTTACACCAGAAACACAATGTTACATTAAAAGCCCAGGCTACATGAAACCACCAGGGTAGGGGCCCCCCTCACGCCCCAAACTTACATCCTCCTTGTGCGTATGTGACAAAGTACACCACCAGACTATAAATCCCAAGAGCATAAACACTGTGCCAGCAGTCCTGTCCCCACCCCTGCATTCCCAGCACCAGCCCCTAGCTCAGTGTCTGGTAGCCTGGTATAGAGTAGGTAGGTAGGTAGGTATGTATGTATGTATGTATGTATTTATTTATTTAAGACAGAGTCTCACTCTGTTGCCTGGGCTAGAGTGCCACGGCGTCAGCCTAACTCACAGCAACCTCAAACTCCTGGGCTCAAGCGATCCTCCTGCCTCAGCCTCCCGAGTAGCTGGGACTACAGGCATGCACCACCATGCCCAGCTAATTTTTTCTATATATATTTTTAGTTGTTCAGCTAAGTTCCTTCTACTCTTTTAGTAGAGACAGGGTCTCACTCTTGCTCAGGCTGTTCTCAAACTCCTGAGCTCAAGTGATCCTCCTGCCTCGGCCTCCCAGAGTGCTAGGATTACAGGCGTGAGCCACTGCACCCGGCCTAGAGTAGGTATTTTTTTTTTTTAATTTCAGCATATTATGGGGGTATAAATGTTAAGGTTACATATATTGCCCATGCCCCCTCTCTCCCCTAGAGTAGGTATTTAAAATACATCTGTTCAATAAATATTTATCTGGACCAAAATGACATGCTCATCACACCAAGATCCAGTCTCAATTCTGCCAAACATTAGCAATTCCAGTGGACCAGTCAGTACACAGGTAATGCCCATAGCACAAACGTTACTGGTAAGTCAACATAAAATGCAGCAAGACTAATTCAGGACCTTGATGTAGGGGTGGCTCTTGCATGTGGTTCCCCACTGTCTGGCACAGCGCTCCTCTTTCCTGTGCTCATAGAACTCTGGATTGCGGAGAATAGCCACACGCCGGCCCTCGTATACCAGAGCAAATGCCGTGCAGCCATCCAGCCGCTCCTTCTCTTCGCAAGTGGCCGTCAGAACGATGGGCACCGACAAATTAATGACACCTCCTGTGCGCACAGAGGAACACAGAGCACACGCTCGGATTACTCAACAGGCCCCACTCACATCCACCTGTCACGTCAAGGGACACTCCTCAGAAAATAAAACCTTCATGGGTCTAGTAACAGTGTTCAATTGGTACCTGGCAAGGGAAATCCACAGAGAGAACAAACTACAAAGTCAGGGAAAATATAAGCAACAACCTCAGAATTTTTTTTAAAAACTAGCAAAAATGAAGACAACCAACAGTGTATATAGTAATATTTCTCACAATTTATCAAACTGTCTTTGGGTAGAATTTTTGGTATAAAATTACAAAAATAAAAGGAACTGTTTAATAAGGAAAAATCAACCAATTAAGCTAAATATCACCAAAAAATACTGTGCACTTTCAATATATGAATGAGACAAAGAACTATGTTTCAGGAAAAATTTAAAGCCTTGTTGATAATAAGGCTTTGATATAGATAACTGCATTTTAAGTGGCAAGTTGATTAAGTATACTTGAGTATACCTGGTATACTTGGGTAACCTTGAGATAGTAAGACAAAAAAATCCAAAAAGTTTTCTTGTTTATTTTTTTAATACAGCCAGAATCAAACTGATATTAGCTGATACTGGCCAAGGCACAAAGGCAGTAATCAGTGGCTGCATTTAACCCAAAATGTGTTGTCAGTGATATCAAAGGCATAGTCTCAGTTCCCCAACTTTCAAGCTGTAAAAGGTTTTTTTCATCATGTACAGGTTAGAAAAATAAAATTCATATTTGAATTCATATATATTTCCATAATGATACATTTTGGGGAATCATGACATGCCTTCTTAAGACAAAAGATGGCAACAAAATCAATGATGATTGCTTGGCTGGTTTGAAAATTACCACCACTACGTGTAGTTTAAAATGGAAAATTAATAGGTAGATCTGCACCAAGCCCAAGACTGAACCATTACTGAGGAGGGAGGCCACAAAGACTTTCCATTAGCTCCAAGAAAGAAAATCAAGATGCAATATTTATCCCTATGTTCTTGTAATAAAGTTTCTTGAGAAGAATAATTACGTTTTCCAGTATCTTTTTCACTCCCCAGTCAACACACTGACTGCCATACTAGAAAGAAAAAAATTCTCCTTGGGGACACAGTGTTTTATTATGAAAACTTTGAAAACAAAATGATCCTTTCTAATTTGATTAAAAATTTGTTATTTTTTATTGTTTTCTGTGTGTGAGCTATATGCAATTAAATTGTCAATATTAACTGAAGTAATAAGAACAATCAACAAGATTTTCATGAACCAACTGCAGGGTTTTGCCCAGGGGGCCACCCATCACATAAACACGTATGCTCCAGCTCCAGTGTGAGTTGCCCATGTGCCATGCACCTCCCAATGTAAAGAGACGTGTGAGTTACATATGCTTCACCAGGCCCTGGGCTCAAAACTAGCATGAGTTAAATACAACTCACATGGCAGTTAATGTGTTTAAGGAGTCATTATACAAAAGAAATCAGTGGCAATTTCATGGGATTCTGTGACATTTTAAAACATTTTCTTTAATGTGGTAAATTAAGATTACCAACAGTATATAATACAAAGTCAAAGGTAGCTGAACTGTAATAATCTACTAACATACAGGACATTATTTCTTTGGCAATTTTTTTAATGTTTTAAAAGAATAGGAAGAACCATGCTTTCAGCCACCTATTTCAAGATTCCTTAACTTGGATGCCGTGATTCCCCATTAGATGGCTCAAGCATGGGCTTCAGCATAGCAAAATGCAGTATATATTTGTCCTGCATGGAGAAAAGCATGCCATAGTGGTCAGGTGGATACGGCGTAAGAAAACTGTATGTGCCTTTACAATCCACTTTCAATCCTAATCCCCAGGTTTTCCCTCTCCCTCTACAATAAATCACAATCTGGAAAAGGAAAAATGGAAATAAAATCTCATGGTTCACTTAAATAGAGTGTTCAGTACTGATATAATGCTACCCCTATGAAGATGTTACCATTACTTTGTATAAACAGTGACGAATCCCTGAAACCAGGTCATTTCCCTTCCACATCCAAGATAATTTTGAAAGCAAAACGTCTTACCATCCAAAAGACAATCGAAATGAAGGCACTGCAAGTACTCCCTCTCTCTCATGAAGCCATTCAGTGGGGTTGCCCAGCCTTCTGCCAAAACCTGCACCCACTGCATATCTACCTAGTAAATTAGAAAGTAAGGCAAAATTTCTATTTCACGCATTTATGAGCAAAAGCAGTAATGGCTTTAGGAGTTGATTTTGAAAGCAATAGAAACAAACATCTTAAGGATGATTATAGATCATATAAACCTAACAAAGAATAGGAGAAATACGCATTTCTCCTAATAAATTTAAGTAACATGGGGCCTCCAAGCATTTTTAATAAGGACAAATGAGAAAAATGAAGCCCATGGCCCAGTGGTGTGCAGGAGAATGCAGTCTCCTATTTATTCCCGAAGCACGTCTGCCAATGTGTTCCACGGCACAAGAATGTAAGGTATTCTCCTGCTTCAATTCACCAAAAAAAAAAAAAAGCTGTATTCATAGAGAATTTTTTTTCACTTTAAGATTTTCCTCTTATTAATGTTTACAAAACCTTTGACAGTGGCTACTATTTGTCTCTATTGGAACCCAATTCTACACGGTATCTGTTAGGGACTGAAAATCTGTGTCCCCCCACAATTCCTATGCTGAAGCCCTAACCCTCAATGTGACTGTATTTGGAAACAGGGCCTGTGAGGAGGTACAAAGAATGCCAGTGTGCCTTCCAGGTGCTCTGCCAATGGAACAAATTTGAGAACCACTGTATTGAAGAAACAGTGACATTTACAAAAAGCTCCTGTCTTTCAGGGTTCTAGAGTCTGACTGGTGAGGATTCATATTCATTCATTCTTATTTGTTCTCTTTCTTCGTGCGTATGCATTCCGGGCAAAGTCTGCTGGTGACCCATTGTCCCTCTGCAAGCTGCTGTTCCCTGCAACAGTTTGCAGCCTGAGCTGCTCCACTCACAGCTGTCCCTCGATGCCACCCCCAGCACATCCTGGCCTCAGGTCAGACACACAGTCACCACACGCGAAGCACGTCGCAATGGTCTGCTCCTATCACAGATTCCAGGTACTACCTGAGGGTCGTTCTCCAAGCCCAGTTTTGTTTCCTTTCTCCTTAGTTTCACATTTGGCACTTCCCTGGGTGTTTTGGGTCTTTACTATATTAAAAGAATGGATGGGAAATTTAGCTTCTAGTCCAAATGCTTATTCCTTAATCTTCCTGTTTTTAAAGTATAAATAAATCATACAACTTAAAATTCTCTAAGATTTGAAAAAGTAAATTATACTTTCCATTCTCATCATGCCGGGTTTAACCAAGCAGTTGTTTATTGGGAAAGACTAGATAATGACATCATTAAAGCTAAAATACATGATAGGATCACTCTTAACAGCATAAGAAAGGGTGAGTCAAGTGTCTGGCAAGAGATTAGGAAACACGGTTAAAAGGGAAAAATGTTCTTTTTAATTATTAATAGTATAGATTAGTATTTAACCTTTTAGCATTCCTTCACTCTGATAAACCTCAAAATCTCACACAATCTTTATTCTTTCATATTTCAAAATACACAAATATTATGACTAAAAGTAAATATTAATAGAAGCCATGGTACTTTGAGAATATGGTTTCACAAATTAAACACATTTCCCACTCCTAGAAACTGTGATATACATTACAACACCCTCACCCTCAGTGCTGCTACCCCTGGTCTCAAACACTGCTATAAATCACAAGTTTAAGGATGTATCACTAGGTGTGAAAAGCAATAAAGAACTTACTTTATTAATTTTCAATGCTGGTAATGCTTCTGCATCTGTTTTCGCCAAATGAAGCTTATTTTCTGGCACATACAGTTCTTTTACTTCATAAGAGGCATCCACAGGTACAATATCCTATGTAACAAAAGTACAATTAAATGTCTGACTCAACAATTGAGAGTTCGTCAAAGGGTATCTTAAATGAAGAAAAGTAACATTTCAAAATGAGACCAAAAAGAATTTCAAATCTTCATTTTGCAGCTGCAAAGAACGTGGAATGTGTATGCCACAAGGCATCTTTGGGGCCTTTACATATCCAAGGAGCTAATCAAACATACAGAATGTATGTATGTGCATTTCACTTAATGCACATCATATAGTCTTTTCAGAAAAAGTTTATTCTGAATTTTTATTTTTTAGTTGGTGAAGTAATAGGCTTTGCCCAGACTGCTGAAACTGCCATTTGCCCTGTAATTTGCCTATGGGTGGAGAACAGCTGGAAGAGAATGTAGAAAAATGACAATGATGACCATATATAGGGACACACGGTGATTTATTTTTCTCATTTCCATCCACCTATTAAAGGACATGCTTACTGCTCCATAGACACTCTCCTTTACAGCTGGGGGAAGGCAAAATGGTACAGCAACTTTGGAAGACAGTTTAGTGGTTTTATATGAACACAAAAAAACCCTCTAAAATTAACTGAAGTTACACAAAAAGTCAGGCATTCATTAGGACTTTTGTGAGGAAGAGTATAATACAGTTTCACAAAAGACTTAAACTGAAATATTTACGTGACTCATAAAACTTTAGGGACATAATATCATCAAAACAAAAGAGAGATACAAAAAAGCAACAGGGATCTACAGGTCGGTTATTTCCAATGTTCTCATCACTTGCAACATGAGGTAAGAAAAGAGGGCACAGGCTTTTTGTACAAGATCTGAGTTCAAATTCTAATAGTGCAACCTTGAGCATCTCACAACCTGTCTCCTTCTCAGTTATTCAGTTGTTTAAAAAACAAAAGATACATAAGATACACACATATATGTTATATATTATAGGCTGTTGTGACAATTAAATGGCCTGAGGTACCTAAACTGTGGGAGCTGATATTAACTAGAGCAGGGGTCCTCAAACTTTTTAAACAGGGGGCCAATTCACTGTCCCTCAGACCGTTGGAGAGTGCGCACTGTGGGCCCGGGACAGATCGGCTGCTAAGCAGGACAGGCAGTGGTGGCAAAAACACCCAGAGGGCCAGATAAATGTGCTAGGCGACCCGGCTGTATGTGGCCTGTGGGCCATAGTTTGAGGACACCTGAACTAGATGCTGACCACAACCCAACACATTGTTCCAAGAGATTAATTCATTTAAGCTTCACACAGTCCTACCTATGAAGGTCAGAAGACACCAATGCTAGCCTCCCCTCACAGATGGGGAAATTTAGGCCGAGGAGCGGTCAATGATTTCCCCAAATCCCTGCAATACTGTCTTCTAATGTACTTAACACAACAAATACTCAATAAATAATAATAATTACAGTATGCTTGCTATATGCCAGGAACTGTTCTAGGCACTCTACACATACTGACTCACAGAATCCTCAGTACAATCCTGAGGTCTATGATTCTTTCCCACTTCACAGATGAGGGAACTGAAGACAGAGAAATTAGGCTATTTTTTCCAGGGTCACAAAACTGGTGTTAGAACCAGTTTCCAACTGAAGTCCCGATACCATTCTCCTTCCCCCCCCCAAAAAAAACCTTTACTGTTTCCCTCATGAAAACTAAGTTATGAAATAGTCTGCCACACAAATTGTTCATTTATTTTCATGATTTTATTAAACATTTACAGTTCCCAGGCTTCTGGTCGACATGCGATCTGCAGATGTGTTGATAAAGTCCTAGACAAAAGGTAAAGACACTCTACATTTCAGTTAGGCCTAAGCAGTTCTAGTAAGGATAAGTGAACAGTTTGCAACCAACTTGTTCAGACCCTGCCACTGTGAATAAAACCAAGAACCTCTATTTCCACCACTGGGCCCCCTTGGTACTTTGAAAACCAGAATATACAGTCTGGGGAGAAGGGACACAGGGACTCCAGAGAAGAAAAGAATCCCATTCTCCACTTCAGTGATAAGAACTGCTCTCCATAAAGCTTTCTTTGCCATCTCTGAAATCCACACAAGGATGGGATACCTTTCGGATACCCCCGCTACTCTACTCCTCCCCCACATTTACTGCAGATACTGTCAGTGATCATGGGGCGTCAGAAGACAGCATCCAGCAGACAGATCTCATCTTCACTGGATGCAGCAAGGCATTTCCAGCTGCGTTCCTAAACCAGCACCACTAGATTTGGCTCCCAAATACCGAGGCACAGCAGTGGCGTGCGTGGCGCGCTGCCACGCTCCAGGCACGTGGCTGGGCCTGTTCTCACCCACACCCTGAAGAACCCCCACAACACCGAGGGTGCACCCAGGTGTGCGACCCCCCTCCCTCTGAAGAGATGTTCCAAGTAAGAACTGCAAACTAACGAAAGTTTCTCTAGATAATGTCTACAGTTTCCTTCCAACCACACCCCTAAAAAGCAAATGTACAGATAATTTGTGAGCAAATCTGTCTCTGAGTTAATTAGTTTGAATATGAAAAGGGTAATATCTGTACTATGAGCTCAACCAAATTATTTAAAAGAAATGTTTTGTGTACCAACAAAATCATTCATAATTTAGCATAAATGATTCTGTTTCTAGTAATGTGTATTAACATAGAGCAGGCGTCCTTAAACTACAGCACTTGGGCCACATGCGGGTGTTTTTGCCCATTTGTTTTTTTACTTCAAAATAAGACATGTACAGTGTGCATAGGAATTTGTTCATAGTTTTTTTTAAACTTTAGTCTGGCCCTCCAACGGTCTGAGGGACAGTGAACTGGCCCCCTGTTTAAAAAGTTTGAGGACCCCTGACATAGAGGCTATAATCATTTTCTTTTTAAGAAGAGGAGAAACCTTTTTCATATTTTACTTTTGAGTCAAAATAATTTTTTTATTACAAGAATTTCACAAAATTCTTCCCTTTTCAAAATTCACATCTAGCAAATATTTTTAAATGAATGTTGGCCTCAAAACTTAGATACAAAATTCTTCTCATGCCTAACCAATGCCAAAATAAAAGTTCAAGAGGTTGCTAGCTTTTCTTTTAAAAAAAAATCCATAAAATGAATAATCCTAGAATTAATACAAACAGCATGAATCAAGAGGAACATGGTGAATCTGCTCAGTGGAGATGAGTTCCACATAGATTCTACGTGTAAAGACAAAAGGACTGGGTATCTATCGGGAATACATAAAAAAATCTTAAAAATGCAAACAGAGTCAGTTTCCAGCAAATTCTAGTAACAAATCTTCTCAGTTTCCAAAACCACTACTAAACATCTGAAAGGAGCAAAACCACCTCAAAGTGAGACAAGATATCTGGACAACAGAATGTGAAGTCCCTGCCTCATGAGCTCTCCACTCTATTTGGGTTTCATTTGGATCTCCACAGACATAGTCAGCTATTAGAAACAATGTGTTCTTCAACTTTATTTCAAGAAATCTCCTTTGAAATCAAAGTCGATCACAAGCCAGGCCAGGAGACAGTCCTTATGTGCCCAGACACCTCACTGGTGGTAAAGGGCTCCCAGGGAAGTCCCCAGGAGTCCTCCCTAGTAGGAGATCGGTAAACAATTCACGTACTATTATTACCTATAAGTCTAGACGTATTTCAATATTATGAATTTTTAAGTATTAATTTAATTTGAAAATGTAACATAAAGTACCCAAAACTTTTTTGTTTGATTAACTAAACACAATCTAAGATCTAACATATGTTATATTCATATGCTTATTTGAACAGACCATTGCTTGTTTTTACCTGGAAACTGGCAGAGAAAACAATACTCACTACATGAAATAGTAGCTCTTGCCTTCTCATTTTAATCTTCCTGAAGAACTCTGAACATGTTAATAAACACAGCAATTCCACATTTCAAGTTATTCTTTTAAATATTTTTTGTACTTTCTTCTTGAGCCAAATCTGCTCAACAGATTTAAAACTAGGGTTCATTCATATTTTTATGTAACTATAAATTTTTATTATCTAAACTGCATACATCCAAAACATGAACACCAAACGACATTCTGGCAACACTTTAAAACTGAGCTGTAATGTCTGGCTTTTATGTGCAGTATAAAATCCATTTAGGGCACTAAACCACCATTTCGTAAAAAGACAAACCTTTAAATAACTTATAGCACTAGTAAATCCTGGTAGATTCAAAAACAGTATTTAAAATATCACTTTAGATTAAAAACAGCAGCAGAAAGTCAACTTCCTTATGTTATAACAACCCAAGTTAAAATACAATACTAGCAGGCCATCTAGTGACCATTCAAGGGTTTAATTTAAATAATCAAAAATCCTCATTTTTTGTTAGTGTCTTCTATTTTCTTAAACCAATATATGCCAAATGAAGCACATTAAGAAAATAAAGATGCTTTGACCAAATGCAGAGAAATGCAGTCTTTATATGAATGACCACATTACCTACCCCAATTACATTACATAGTCAGACTGAAAGAAAAAAAACAAGCCAGGGATCACAGAGGATCCCTAACATGATGCTGAAGTGGTACGGCAGCCAAAGCACCCATCATCCTAAAATACCCAATGTACAGCAGACTAAAAAGACATTTTTCTTGGACAGTGAAATAAATATTATGTCTTACTAAAGAACATTAAAGAAACAATTCCAGGTAGAATTCACTTCAGAAGAGTCTCTCCAAAGTAATACCGAGCATCAGAAAAAAGAAAACTCTATTTAGCACCATTATTTCCATGGAGATAGCACTCCTCAAACACATGCACTCCCTGGAAAGTCCCAGACCATACTACTCTCCTCCCTCTGATAAAAAGTCGTGGATGCAATGGGAAACATATACAGTATTTAGGCCTTTTTTCTCAGTTCCCGATACAGAGCTCCTAAAACCCCTGGAATTCCCTAAGTGGTCCCAGTGGCTTTGGTAAACTGAGGGGATGACTCATGGCTGACCGGGCACCTGGAAAGATTCAGGTGGTGGCTGGTCACCAGAAAGACCAAGCCTCTATCCCAGGGTTGGACCTTTCAGCTCAGCTCCCCCCAAGCCTCTAGGGAGGAGAAGGGATTAGGGATTGACCTCAATCATCAACGGCCAATGACTTAATCGATTGTACCTACATAAAACCTCCACAAAAACCCCTAAACAATGGGGTTCACTGGGCTTCCAGGTTGGTGAACCCATGCAGGAGGGTGCCGTGCCTACAGAAGGCATGGAGGCTCTGCAACTCCTCCCCCCGAACCTTGCCGGTGCATCTCTCCCATTTGGCTGCTCCTGAGTTTAAAATAAACTGGTGACAGTAAATTAAGTGCTTTCCTGAGTTCTGTGAGTTGTTCTAGCAAATTGGCAGACCTGGTGAGGGCTGGGGATGGGAACCCTTGAATTTGTTATCAGCCAGGCAGAAAAGTGGGTGGCCTGGGCACCCCATATGCGGCTGGCGTCTAAAACAGGGCAAGCTTGTGGGGCTGAGCCCTTTACCTAAGGGGTCTGGGCCAACTCCAGACACTTAGAGTCAAAATTGAATTGACTTCCTAGACATCCAGATGATATCAGACATCAAATAATTTGTCTTATAAAACCAAGTCTGGCCAGGCACAGTGGCTCACACCTGTAATCCTAGCACTCTGGGAGGCCGAGGGGGGCAGATTGCTCAAGGTCAGGAGTTCAAAACCAGCCTGAGCAAGAGCGAGACCCCCTCTCTACTAAAAATAGAAACAAATTAATTGGCCAACTAAAAATATATATTAAAAAAATTAGCTGGGCATGGTGGCACATGCCTGTAGTCCCAGCTACTTGGGAGGCTGAGGCAGGATGATCGCCTGAGCCTAGGAGTTTGAGGTTGCTGTGAGCTAGGCTGATGCCACTAGGGCAACAGAGTGAGACTGTATCTAAAAAAAAAAAAAAAAAAAACCCAAGTCTGAAGAAGAGATAACATTTACTTAGCTTGACTATTTTAAAAGTAAAATATTCATTGTAAGTGGTAATAATAACCCCAGTCACTCATTTACCATGCAGATTTAGGTTTTAAGACTTAAGTAAATCATAATTCATCTGGCAAAATGTGCCTTTGCTTTCCAAGGTAAATTAACCAACCTACAAACCTTATTTCACACTACACAGAACAAACATTTCATATCAGCTGGGCACAAGCACGGGCACTTTACTTCTTTACATAATAAATATTCTTCCCAACCCAGGCAGTGTTATCTTTGACCTGCTCAAGTCCTTTAAAAGTATTAAATCTTTCTAAAGTCAATAAAATGCCCGTTTCTCTCCATTGTTTTAACCCTTTGAACTCGATTGCTGTTTTCTCGATTCCTTTATTCTACTCGGGATTTAATTTTTTAAATATCCCAGATTTTACAAAGCGCGGCAGCAGAATAAAAAACTGGAGTTTCTTTTCATACAAACTTATTTATTTGGATTTTTTTTATATTTCAAATTATTGATACATTCAAAGAGTAATTTTAATCTCTATAATTTCTGCTAACCGTGTCGAGTCATATTCGACATCCGAGTGCAAAGGGTTAATCCCAACTAAGGAAATAACTGGTCAAGGAATGTAAAAGGGAGTCAGAAAAAAGATTCATATTTCAGGAATAAACCAGAAATGGAAAGACTCTAGATATCAGGAAAGGCAGTGTAGTAGAAAGGCCAGCGTGGGGGCTGCAAAATCAATTGAGCATGTGTTCAGATCTCACCCTCCCCAACTTAGCTATTCTGGGACTAACAACTTCACTTCCTGAATCTGTTTCCTCATCAGTAAAACAAGAATAATCATAACTACTTCTCAGAGTTTTAACACATATTAAATGCAATAATGTTACTCAAGTACCTAACACAGGGCTAGCACATAGTAAGAGTTCGACTAACAAGAGTTATTGCTGATGGTCTCCCACTGTGCCCATGCCATTCTCATTCAGCACACTCACAGGTATTCTTTTATGTAATGCTAGTTAATATGGAACCCCTAATCTTCACATCCCTACTCAAAGCACATACCATAAAACTATGATGATTTGGTTACTATTCTTTGCTTTAAAGCAAAACTGCACTCAACATATTTATCTCCTTCATGTCCCAATCTATTGTTAGACTCTACTATGTGCTCCGACATAACCCACCTTGGGAAAACCTAACAAATGTCTCTGTGATGACAATAAAGTTGAACCGCACTTGCTAGCCTTGGATAAAAGAGCGTTTGACATGAACAAGGCGCATCACCCCAAGCCACCATGCAGTCCACGTGCAGTGGGCAAACGCACTCCCACCACCACTGACTGTGAACTTTGAGCTGAATGTCAGGTATTCCCTGGTTTCTCACCTGCCCTAATGCCCATCTGAGAGTCAACCTTGTAAGAAAAACAATCAAAGGAGAATAAATGCCAGATACAGTCGTGCGTGTGTGTGCGTGTTGTATGTGTATTTCTTCCTTCAATTGTATTTTTAAATTCTGCATCATGTTATAAAAGAAAAATAAATTAATTTATACATGGTGTTTCTAGTCTATATACCATAAACAAAACAATGGTGGTAAGGACCAAAACTTAAGGCCCATAAGGCAGGAATTTTTACTGTTTAAGTCACTGCTACAACCCCAGTGTTTACAACAGTGCCTACCACATATGCCACTAAGTATCTGTTAAATTAACTAACAGATCAACCGAGTACAACAGAGAAACACACACATGCTTTCGATGGGAAGTGAAGTCATTTAATGAGAAAGCAGTGTCTTAAGTGAAATCTTTGAAAAGACGGCGGCACCCAAAGAAAGCAACAGCTTTAAGGAGGCATTTGCATTTCTTTTGTCACCACCCAGCTTTAAGATAAAAATAATTTTTCAAAAGAAAGCTTCTCTTTCTTAAACTAATATAACCTGAATCCCTTTCTGGATGTAGATTTAATTACATCACACTGAAGATGTACTGAGAACACTCTTGAAAGCAAAAGACGGAAGTATATGCAAATGACTGTGGCCCTGGCGGTGGCTCACGCCAGTAATCCTGGCACTCTGGGAGGCCGAGGCGGAAGGATCCCTTGAGCTCAGGAGTTCAAGACCAGACCGAGCAAGAGCAAGACCCCGTCTCTACTAAAAAAAATAGAAAGAAATTAGCTGAATAACTAAAAATATATAGAAAAAAGTTAGCTAGGGATGGTGGCGCATGCCTATAGTCCCAGATACTCGGGAGGCTGAGGCAGAAGGATCGCTTGAGCCCAGGAGGTTGGATGTTGCTGTGAGCTAGGCTGACACCACGGCACTCTAGCCCGGTGACAGTGAGACGCTGTCTCAAAAAAAGAAAGAAAGAATCCAACACGCCCATCAGCAAAGTTTCTTCATTTCTCTGAAATGGTTCATAGATTTACTGCGTGAATACAATTAAAAAACATACAGAAGGTACTTAGCACAAAGACTGTTTAAAAGACTACTCCCTGCAGTTTATGTCGACTGAGCTATTTCATACACTGTACCTACACGGCACTCCCCACACACCTAACACAGTCATATACGCCCACGGAAAACTGTTGGCACTATAAAGCACTTAAAATACAAGCGTTACTCAATATTAACACCACATTTTTCAGTAGGAGGACGTTTATGAGATGGAAATGGTTCTCTGATAATTCCTCTTTCACCTTCCCTTACCCGTTCCTGCAGAAGTTCCACAACCTGCTGGACACAGTCATTGACGTCACAGGAGTCTGTTTTCAGCACCAGCTCGGGGGCCTCTGGTTTCTCATATTCAGAATCAATCCCAGTGAAACCTGTAAAAGGTACCAGATAACTAAGGGGGGGTGGAAATCAAAATAGGTCTATTTCTTCAGTGCAGGTCTCTGCTATGTATGAAGTTAATATCTGTTCTGTCTCCTCTAAGCTAGAGTTATAATACAGACACGTCCTTCTTAGGAGAGGATTTCTAATTTAACTTTTGTTTCTTCCTTAAATACGTAGGTATAGTTGATTCTCATTATTCACAGCAGTTACGTTCCATAAAGTTGCCACGAACACTAAATTAGCAAGTACTGAACAATTGCTCCAAAGTGAAATACAGGGTTAGGTCTCTGCAAGCCTCTGGTCAAAACATTTTTGTCAATCGATTCTTTCACCTCGTTTTATGTGCTTTCTTGTTTAAAGACACCCTATTTAACATATATTGTTAGCCAACTAACACTGAGCTCATGGCCAGCGGCACCTAACTCACGCCTGAGTGATCTTCCCTGACACGTGCATTTTCCACGTGAGGCACATCACAGCCTCTCGTGCTTAGAAGTATGAGATGGCACTTCACCACTGGAGGCCATTAAACAGCAAAATCACCCAAAACTACAAAACTGCAAAAACATGGCACTAAGCAGGCTGCAAAAAAGATACCTGTTTACAGCATGAGAACTGGAACGGGACGGGAGGCCGCCTTGTTAACTTCAGCAGGGACCTGTGTCAGCTATGTCAGGTGACTCATTTTTCGCCACTCTGCTCACAGCCACAACTGACCACAAGAGCGCCAGGAGTACTGATTTGGAGGTTACAGCTAAATTTTAGCAAGTAGGCAAATTCGTTAAGTATGGAATCCACAAATAATGAGGATCAACTATACCTCTTCTATCACCTTTTTTCTTTCTCGTTTCTCTTAAGTAAATGCCTAAACTGCCTGTGAGGAAATACAGAATTACTACCAGGTGATCCAGAGCATCTCAATTTCTCCACAGAACACAGGCCAGAGTACCTACACCCTGGGCACAAAACCAAATTTGACAAGGTTTTTTTTTCTTCTCAACAACAAAAAAAAACCAACACTAAGTCAATCTGTCCGTGACATTCCTAGGATTATCCATGGCCAAGCAGACGCTCTGTAGGCTCCTTCTGCTATCAGATAACAAGCCTGTTAAATCATAAAATAAAGCACACAATCAAATATCATGAATTTAGATAGTAACCACTATTTAGATTTTCCCTACTGTATACGTGTTGCCATGTAATTCCCAAGAAAAGAACAAATGCACAACATTTGCCCAAAATGGGCTAGCTGAGCTAAAGACACACTATTCCCATGTCACACCCCTGACATCACCCTACATGAAAGTTGTTCACAGCCTGTCTTGGAAAGCTTAGGTCATTCTTGAGTTAGAATGGTAAATATTAAGAAGTATGGTTAACCAAAGAGTTCTAAAATATATACTATAAGCCTATAGCCCACTTATTTCATTTTTTTATATTTCATATTTCTAAGCATCACCTGCAGTCCTGAACTCAAGAAGAAATGTCTGCATTACCAATATTCCCAACTGTATTTAGCTGCAGGTCACAATAAAATAGCTGGGTAAAGAAAATAATTCTGGTTAGAACACTAGTTGTTAAGCTCTGATTCTCAAACGCAGCAATACACTGGAATCACTGGGTCCCACCCCATGAGCTTCTCATTTCCCTGGTCTGGGGTACAGACACAGACTGGATTTTTAGAAGTTCTCAAGGAAATATCAATGTACAGCAACTTGACAACCACTGGCCTAGAAGAGTGGCTGAACTTTTTAGAAGCCCAGAGTTCTCCCCCAGCTAATTTATCCCATAAATAATTATAATAAATGTATACTGAAAAAAGATTTAAACTGAAGATAAATAACTTCTTGAGTAGTAATCACGAAAATAATCTTGATAGCAGAATGGCTGACACAGGGATAAATCTACTGTCTAGTAAATGTTACATAAAGGTCTGTAAAGCCTGAGGTCCCTGAATGTTTGCAATCTTGTCTGTCCTTGAATGATTACCAGGCTTTGAAACGGCATCGATAAGGAACCTGTTCAGCACCATTCTTGTTCAGCACCAACAAGTAAAAGGTTTTTTAAAAAAGTAAACAACTCTACAATCAGGAACTCCAACCCCAGGACAAACCTAAAACATATCAATGTGAGCATGTATAGACACACAAGCATTAACATAAGAACCATCTTCTCAACATCTCCTCAGGGGAATGTAGCCAACACCTGGGGAAGTAAACAAGAAACTAATACAAACACACTCCCAGTTATAGAGTACAAATTGTGAGTGATGCCAGGACATTCCGGGTGTTGCCTTATTCATCTTTCTATCCCTAGCACCAAATACACACCTTGCAAATAGAAAGTCTTCATAGCTGTGTGTTGAACACCCCATTCCCACTCTGCCTTCTCACCCACCCAACAAACATTTACTGTGTATGTGATGGGGATACAGTTTGGGCCCTGCACTGTGCTAAATTCTAAAGATAGTAAAATATTCAAGATGTTGTTCCTGCTCATAAGTAGCTTACTCCAGCCGGGCAGACAAATCTACCTCCCTCACCAACCCATATCCTTGTAAAAACAACAAAATCAACTACAATTAAAATAAATAAAAGGTTTAGACTTTAGGATTCTGGACATACCATTTTTGCTTTTCTGTGCCAAATTTCTACACAAAAGACTGAATTGAAAATCGCCTCTCAGGAGAGAGTGACACAGAGAGTTGAAAGGCTAAACTGGTTTCCTTCCTGCTGTCATCAAGTATTCTGATCGGGCAGCCTATTCTAAGAAAGTGCCAGCATAACAGGTGAAAGGAATGACAAGCAGCAGCCCTCACCCAGGAGCTGGGTCTCCGGGGCAGCAGGACTCGGTATCAGCCTTGCCCGGGGAACTACATGTCGCTACAGCAGGTGGATCTTGCCCCAAATGCTAAAGTGTCCCAGGGTACAAATACAGAAGAACCCACATTAACAAGCACTTTCCTTCCCATTCAACATTTTCCTTTTCAGTTCCAGAAGCTGAAATGTCAAAATCCATAATTCAGAGAGCTCCTAGATGTTCCTATAACAATCCCAAGCTATCATACCCACTTCTAGGAAGGCAAACAAAAGTTACCTGCATGAATTGCTGATCCCTAAACAAGGCTATCTACCTAGTTTGTAATGCCAGCCTGTCCCTGGTTTCTGTTAACAATACTAGAACAAGGCCAGGCGCGGTGGCTCACGCCTGTAATCCTAGCTCTCTGGGAGGCGGAGGCGAAGGCGGGTGGATCGTTTGAGCTCAGGAGTTCAAAACCAGCCTGAGCAAGAGCGAGACCCCATCTCTACTATAAATAGAAAGAAATTAATTGGCCAACTTATATAGAAAAAATTAGCCAGGCATGGTGGCACATGCCTGTAGTCCCAGCTACTCAGGAGGCTGAGGTAGTAGGATTGCCTGAGTCCAGGAGATTGAGGTTGCTGTGAGCTAGGCTGACGCCACGGCACTCACTCTAGCCTGGGCAACAAAGTGAGACGCTGTCTCAAAAAAATTAAAAAATTAAAAAAAAAAAACAATAATAGAACAGGACAAATCTCAACATAAATAATATACTCTATATCAAAGACCACAGCAGAAATGGGTTCTAAATTTCTCCTTCAATGTCTAAATGTTCATCAATGTTGAAACTCTAGGATAGACCACAAAACCTAAAAAGCAAAGTGTACAGCTCTCCCTCAGTATCTGTGGGGGACTGGTTCTAGGACTCCCTGTGAAATCTGCAGGTGCCCAAGTCCCTTAAAATAAACTGGCATAGTATTTGCATATAACCTACACATTTCCTGCTGCATACTTTTAACTCACTCTAACTCAACAATTGTACATGGAATGAATGAGGGACCATTCCAAGCAATAGGATATAAATAAGCACAAGACATTATCCTTGGCATCAAGATGCTTATCTTGGCCAGGTGCGGTGGCTCATGTCTGTAATCCTAGCACTCTGGGAGGACAAGGCAGGTGGATTGCTTGAGGTCAGGAGTTCGAAACCAGCCTGAGCAAGAGCGAGACTCCATCTCTACTATAAATAGAAAGAAATTACTTGGCCAACTAATATAAATAGAAAAAATTAGCTGGGCATGGTGACGCATGCCTGTAGTCCCAGCTACTCGAGAGGCTGAGGCAGAAGGATTGACTGAGCCCAGGAATTTGAGGTTGCTGTGAGCTAGGCTGACACCATGGCAATCTAGCCAGAGCAACAAAGTGAGACTCTGTCTCAAAAAAAAAAAAAACAAAAAAAAGATGCTTATCTTCAGGCACATTTCCCAATAGCTGTAGGACTCACTACACTTTCAGTGGAACAAAAGGAGAAGTGGTGGCAGCTGCCAACTGATATCCGACCTAATGCTAAGCACTTAATTATATCAAATAGGTTTTCACCAACCCCCAAAGTCCCAACTCTTAATAGTTGGGATAAAGCCCACTTTCTCTTGTCAAGGCACTCCACGTCACTTACACATTCCCAATCTCTTAGAAAAGATTATTAGTCCCACATGTAAAAGATAAAATATCTAAGCAAAGACAAACTGGGAAGAAAATACTACTGACCTTTTATTTCTCCTGCCCGTGCTTTTTTGTAGAGTCCTTTGACATCCCTTTGCTCACAAACATGCAGAGGAGCATCAACAAATACTTCAAAAAAAGGTAAACTTGCACCCTCATGAATTTGTCTTGCATTGTTGCGATCCTTAAAAAAAAAATAAGACATGCACAAAAATAATGAAAAGTGATCACACTGATCATAAAGGTACTATATTAACATCAAGGATGAGTAAAAAGTGCTTTTCGCTCGATTTAATAGGAACTATATTAGACAAAATTTATACTTTTAAAATATAAACTCAAAAAAAAAAATCCAAGAATGTATTAGTGTAACACCTATTCTTCATGACAATTTTAAAAGGCATACTGTTCTGCAAACCTAGACACTGGGGAGTTGCAGGAGGGAAACAATTGATGTGCACAAAATCTGTCACCTAAGTTCCATGTGGAACCTGAGTCAGTCCAGCTTGAAGGCAGGTGTCACCAGGCCTCTCTCTAATGTCACATTCAACCCAGCCCGGGCTGGCACGGAAGCCACCTGCAAAACAGATCCATTCAGAACCCCAAGGCTAGTTTACTCCTTTGCCAAACGCAAGCCCCACGGCCACGCCCCTCTATCTGCACAGCTCCTGCATGCAGGCCTTCTAGTAGCCTCCTTTGTCGTTCAGCCTGAGCTCTCTCCACCCTGTCCTGGAACACTGTTTCCTTCGGAAGTCAACCTCCTCTTCTTCCTGGGCTTCCCTGGAGGAAGCCACTCACCTCATCGTTCCAAGAGCAGGTACCACACCCGCACCTTGTTCCCAAGCGCGGTGCCCACGTCCTCCCAGCCGGCCTGCAACCTCCACCACTCCCTTCCCACAGAGCTCCTGTTAGTTTCCACTACTTTCCTTACGGCCCCCATTAGGGGCCATACTAAAACCACCTCATTAGATTTACAACTTTAATCTCTGGCTCAGCAATTAAGCTGTGATCTTACTATTCTAACTGTCCTTTTAAATGAAGGTGTTCCCAAGTTTCCATCTGTGGCTCTCTTCTTGTTCTATATACTCTTCTGAATACACGCAACCTCATCTAGATTTCAGCTCATAAAGTTAATAACTCCTAATTCTAGATCTTAGGGTTTCTGAGCCCTAGAACAAATCTTCCAATGGCCCAGTGGTCATCTCCATTGATATACTCCACTAGCACTTCAAAAGTCACACACCTACAATGGAATACTTATCCCCTCCCTTTCCACCCTTATATCACTCTCCATTCAGAAAGCACCTTTCATTACCCCCCCAAATTATCAACCAGACACTAAGTCCTACTGATGCTACAGGCTCAACAGACTTCAAACATGTCTCATCTGTTCTATTCCCGTTGCTGCTGCTTAAATTGTGACAGAGCAGAGACTAGTCTCCCACTTCCAGTCTCCCACTTTCCATTTACTCTAAACCAGTTCAAACCAGGAGTTCCAGACCAGTCTCCTTCCAGGCTTCATGGGTGATTTCACTTAAATGCAAACCCAATGACATCATTTCCTATTATAATCTCAAACTATTAACTCCTTGGGAGGCAAAGTCTTGAGCAGTCTGGAGGTGATCGTCTAGCGTCTGCAAATCAGTCTGACTTCATCTCCCCTCACAACCATCCTGCACAGCAGTCACACCAACTCACCCACAGTTCCCCAAAAAACCAAATTCTCCAACATTTCCATTGCAAACACTGTACTGTCTCCCCTGTCTGCAACTGCTTTCCCCCTCTGGTCTAACTGGTACCCTCTGACTCATCCTTCATGACTCATTTCCAGCAGCTCCTCCTCTGTGAATCTTCCTTCCACAGCACCTTCTATGAACACTCACTCAATCACCTGCCTCAAGATGTTGCAACTGTTTACACACCTACGTTCCCACCAGACTACCAACTCCTTCAGGTTTTAGAGCCAAGATGCCCAGTTCAGTGGTTGATATAGAGGTACGCAAATAACATCTCTCGAATGAATGAATAAATATAATCATGATTGGATAGAAAAATACACACATCCCATATGACATGGTTCAATCCAAACAGTATCATGAATTTTGCCCTAAACATAATCCAAACCCCATTCTTAGTCCTTTTACAGATGAGGTCAACAAAGATTTTGCTCCTCACTATGGAAGCAAGGGGGCAAAAGAGCAGATCATCATATACTTTTAAGAGTCCCAGGTCTCAGATGGCAGCTCTCCAAACCAGATGTCACTGACTTTCCCCTTTTCCATGAGTTGCAAAGATTCCCAGGTGTATCATGTTCTTCTGAAAACTGTATATATCCAAGGATTCAGGAACTCTAAATATTCATAACTCTCATTCTGCATATATATTTCATTACCGATGCACTCTCAACTGATGTATTCCCACTGACCCCAAGGTGCCAGGAAAATGGAAAGTAGCTAGTACTCACAGAACCTTTTAAGACTTCTGCTGTGGTTCAATTAAGCGAACCTGTGTGAATAACTCAATCTGACACTTATCTATAACTCTTATGGGTCAAATTTTGTTAAAAAAATTTTTTAAAGAATGTAAGTAACCATCACAATTTGTTTATGATACAGTACTAGAATCATGCTATTATTATTTATTACATTTACTGAGTACTTATTACATGCCAGGTACTGTGCTGAGGGCTCTGAAGGCATGATTTACTAACCCTCATAGCAACTCTATAAAGGAGGCGTTAGCTGAGCTCAGGAAGGTTCGGTGAACTGGCCACGAAAGCAGTAACTGGCAGAGCTAAGATTTTGGCCTATCTGTGTTCAACTCCAAAGACCCTGCCACTACACTAACTCACTTAATCTTTGCTATCAGGGCTTCCTAAAGGGATATGCTATGGTTCAACAAACACTAAACAAACATCCACTATGTTCCAGGAGCTGGACTTAATATCAAGATTACAAAGATAAGTAAGAAACAGTCCCAGTCCTCAAGGAGCCAGTGGGGTTTGGAGGTAGAACATGGTGATGGACAAGAGCACAGGTGCAGGTGGGAGCAGTGGCTCACACCTGTAATCCTAGCACTCTGGGAGGCCGAGACGGGCAGACTGCTCAAGGTCAGGACTTCAAAACCAGCCTGAGCAAGAGCCAAGACCCCATCTCTACTAAAAATAGAAAGGAAGTAATTGGCCAACTAAAAATACATAGAGGCCGGGTGCAGTGGCTCACGCCTGTAATCCTAGCACTTTGGGAGGCCGAGGCGGGTGGATTGCTCAAGGTCAGGAGTTCAAAACCAGCCTGAGCGAGACTCCGTCTCTACCAAAAATAGAAAGAAGTTAATTGACCAACTAAAAATATATATACAAAAAAAAATTAGCCGGGCATGGTGGCGCATGCCTGTAGTCCCAGCTACTCGGGAGGCTGAGGCAGTAGGATCGCTGAGCCCAGGAGATTGAGGTTGCTGTGAGCCAGGCTGACGCCACAGCACTCACTCTAGCCAAAAAAAAAATATATATATATATATATAAATATATATAGCAAAAAAATAAGCCAGGCAAATGCCTCTGGTCCCAGCTACTCAGGAGGCTGAGGCAGGAAGGAGTCTGAGGTAGCTGTGAGCTAGGCTTATGCCATGGCACTCTAGCCTCGGCAACAGAGTGAGACTCTGTTTCAAAAAATAAAAAAGCACAGGTGCTACAGAGAGACAGGCGCAAGTCCTAGCTCTGCCAGCACAATGCGTGACCTTGGGCAATACACACCTGTCGGCTCACATCTACCTTCCTCACTGGGAGATAAGACGACATGAGTTAGTTTACGTAAAAGCATTTTAAAACAGTCACCAGTACACAGTAAGTGCCTAATAAATGTCAGTCATTATTAACAATATTATCACTATAGCTACTATTAGTACCATCAATCAATGAACTGGGATTTTTTATAAAACAATGTGCTAAGGTACAAAACTAAGTCACCAAAAACAGGTACCCAACAAAGCCTGAGGGTGAAAGGCAGGTACTCAGGAGGAAGAGATCCCCAACCTGAGTGGGGAGTTCGTCAAAGTACAAACAGAAGTCAGCTGACACTGCAAAGAGAGGGACAGGAGGAAGAGGAAGGTACCTTCTAGGCAGAGGAGAAACAGAAAGCCTAGGATAAGAAACTAACATGATTTTTTCTGAGAAATACAAAAAAGTCATTCAGTGTTGCTACAGTCTCTAAAATAAGAGGAAGAATATGATGACAGCTGAAACCAAAGAACTGTGGGCAAAGAAGCCATAGTAAGACATATAGGAAACTTAGATTTTCTCTGGTGGCTGATACCTGTCAAGTGTTCATTACAGGTTCACTGAATTAAAAAGTCAAGCCTGAAATGATGTGGCCATTGGCATGAGTTCAACAATACTATACTCTGGGTTTTAATGTCAGGTTTTCTCCGTTTTGAATTTACTCAGAAAGCCACAGCACACTGGCCAGGCGCGGTGGCTCACGCCTGAATCTTAGCACTCTGGGAGTCTGAGGCGGGCGGATCGCTCAAGGTCAGGAGTTCGGAACCAGCCTGAGCAAGAGCAAGACCTCCATCTCTACTATAAAATAGAAACAAATTAATTGGCCAACTAATATATATAGAAACAAATTAATTGGCCAACTAATATATATAGAAAAAAATTAGCTGGGCATGGTGGCGCATGCCTGTAGTCCCAGCTACTCGGGAGGCTGAGGCAGTAGGATTGCTTGAGCCCAGGAGTTTAAGGTTGCTGTGAGCTAGGCTGATGCTACGGCACTCACTCTAGCCTAAGCAACAAAGTGAGATTCTGTCTCAAAAAAAAAAAAAGAAAATAAAGCCACAGCAGAATAACTGACCTATAATTTTACATCAATTATTTTAATCTGGATGTCAATGTTTACATTATGTGCTCTGCCTGATACAATATTCTTAACATAATTAGAAAATCAATGGCACAAAAGCCACACACCTGTGTATAAGGCGATATAAAACTTGTAATGCACACTAAGCCAGCATCCGCAAACAGCTTAGCAACTTCTGCAATGCGTCGAACATTCTCTTCTCTGTCTTCAGGACTAAAGCCAAGATTTTTATTGAGACCTTGACGAATATTGTCACCATCCAAAGTGTAGCACGGAATACCATGGCAAACCAAGTACTCCTCCAAAGCCATGCTCACCGTAGTCTTCCCTGCTCCAGACAAGCCTACAATTGAACAATGCAAACAGATTCCATATGCAAAGTTAGAAGGATAACTATGTAGTAATAAAAATGTTAATTACAGGCTTAATTACATTCATTATTCACAGCAGTCTCTCAGTGAAGTTCTTATTCAATACCTCTCTTTAAGATTTAACCCTTACCTAGGAAAATATCTATAGTTTACATACAATAAGCATTTGGTTTTAATAACTTGTATCCATGCCCAAAGGTATCCTAAAAATCACTGGTAAGCTTCAAAAGGGCTTAACCAATTTTAGTGTCAGACATGGATGAGTAGATATTCACTCTGTCCTCTTGTTACCACGTTTCTAAAGCTGCATACCAAATTTTAAAACAAAGTTATATGCCCACATACAGTGACACTGCTACTGTTACTTCAAGAAGCACAGTCTAATTCCCTTCCCTTGAAACTGCACTGGCCTTAGAACTCCCCTGCAGCCAAAGAACATAGTAAAATGATGATGTGTGACTTCTTACGCTGGGTAAGAAAAGGCTATACAGCTTTTCTTTGGTCAGTTAATTTGAGACAAGCCAGCAATTAATGACCCTGAGACCACCATGCAAGAGTGATCACAAGTAGGTGTTCCAGTTGACAGTGTCAGCCAGCTAAGCTCCCACTTGACAATCATCATCAACAGGATAAGTCATCTCGGACACCTAGCCAAGTTGGGCCTTCAGATGACTGCATCCCAAACTGGCATGATGATGACCAAGCAAGACCTAAGCAAACACCATTCAGCTGAAGCCAGGTGCAGCAGCTCATCCCTGCAGTCCCAGCTACGTGGGAGGCTAAGGTGAGAGGGTGGCTTGAGGCCAGGAGTTCAAGGCTGCAGCGAGCTATGATCACTCCACTGCACACCAGCCTGGGCAAGAGTGAGATCCTGTTTCTAAAAAGAATAAAAAATAAACAGCTGAGCTCTCTTCAACTCTTTACCTTTTTACCTCCTCTTTACCCTCAAAATGGTAAGCAAATTAAAATGATTGATGGTTGCTATTTTACACTACTAGCTTTTGGGGTAATTTGTTACATGGTAACTGGAACAAAGAGATAGTGGCTGAGGAGCAGTGGGTTATTCTGTTTTTTCACTGTCGTTGTTAACTAACAACTGAGCACCAAGTATGGGGGGAAATAACTGAGACTCGAAAATCTAAACTTTTTATACAACAAAAACAACTTAAATTACAATAAAATTGTCTGTTTATATACACATGTGTATTTATATATTTTTATGCATATATTTAACTTGAAATAAAGAATAGATACTGTTGAAAACTGAATTACTGACATTAACAGTATCATTGAGAAGATTACAGTGAACCCAAACAAAAAGGCAAAGACATTGAAGTGGTTAGCGGACATTAACAGATAATGCAGAACAAAGACAACCTGTAATGAACCTGTAATGATAACTAGTATACCTGAAGAAGAGAAACCAGCTACACTGGATTGAACAGTGTCCCCCAAATATTCATGTCCACCTAGAACCTCAGAATGTGATCTTCTCTGGAAATAGTCTTTGTGGATGTCATCAAAGTTAATTAAGAGGAGGTAACAGTGGGTTAGGGTGGACCCCAAATCCACTGACTGCTGAACTTATAAGAAAGCCATGTGACGACAAAAGCAGAGATTGAAGTAATCTGTCTACAAACTAAGGAACACCAAGGGTCGCCAGCAACCACCAAGAGAAAGGAATAAAACAGATTCTCCCTAACAATCTACTGAAAAAACCAACCTCACCAAAAAAAAAAAAAAAAAAGCCTTTGGACTTGTTGCCTCCAAAATTGTCTAATTTGTTATAGCAGCCCTGAGAAACTAATACACCAAAAAATGTAAAAATACAAAATGAAAAAATTTATCTGAAATATAATCTGAGAAAAAGGGGAACCATGTCCAGGAAAATGGTACACAAAACACTCCTACCTTAGACAGATCCTGGTTAAGCCACCAAATTGCAAGAAAAAGAAAGAAATCTTAACTTGCCGTTTCCAACAACATCAAAACAAAACCAATGAAGGCTATGTCAGATTTGACAACACAATTAACAAGCTTGATCTAACGACCATAAACAGAATATTGTACACATCAGGGGATAGATACTCTTTTCAAATAAACATATACAGAAACTGCAGGTTTTCCAGGTCTGCATATGGAGAGCCTGAAAGTCACCACTATGTCCTGACAACAAGTAAAAGACTGAGCAGACTGAAAAATCAACAACTTTTCTTGAATCTGTAAGAGAGAGGAGGACACAAAGCAAATAATTGCCCCCAAGATTAGGAAGACAGGCAAATGCAGGCAGTTATAGCTCTCTGGAGCACAGACTGACTGGCAAAAAACCACAGAGGGAACCAGCGCTGGGGTAGGAAAACCTCAGCTGTAACCAACGAAGTGATGGAGGCTCTGTTGTGGCCTGATTACAGGACAGGGGATGAACACGTAGAACACATACATACGACACAGACAGAGTTGGCTGCAGTCCCAGAAAGTAAAGTACACAGACACGAGACACGGTTAGAGACTGCAGCACTGTAAGGTGCTCGTCGTTTTATTTATATACAGTTTAATTGGGCAAGCGTCCCACAGCTATTTTCTCATGCCAGCTACTTTCCCAGCTACTTTTTGGTACGTGACTTCCCACAGCCAACAACACCTGCTTTTCCAGTCAAAGCAAAAAAGCATGGCCTCCTACAAGACAAGGCCTTCTTTGATGTCTGATACTGCTTTCAGATAACAAACAATCTCGGCTCAAGTGCAAGACCACAAGCCTGTGGCCATTTGCCTGGAGAAACAGTTCCCCTTAGCCAGTCAACAAGCCACATCCTGCTAATTGTGGGAACAAGCAATGGGCGCCCATTCTGCTGACTTTGGGTCTCAGCCAATCTGACCCAGGGACGGCTCGCTTCAGCTCACTTTAGGCTCAGGGCCTGTAAGCCTAAGAGTAAAAAATTCCAAGGGGGCCTAGTCATGGGGGGATCCCCACAATATTGTGAGTATTACCCCCAGGAATTTGATCATATTCTTACAGTAAAAGTAGGTGAAAAATCCCTTCATGCTTCCAGCACGGGGAGGGGAGAAAGGAACTGCTTTGAAACACACCAGAGTACTCTATTCTCTTTAATGAGGCCTGAACTTCAGAAAAACTGTGTAACCAGAGCCTATCCTGCCAGGGCGCTAACAGCACCTACCTGACCTGGGGGAAGGGAAATGCCAACCCAGGTGGCTCTAGCCAACCCGTCCCAGTTCAAGGGGCGGGTTGGGGAATGCAGTAACTGAAAACTGATTACACACCATAAAGCAAGCACCAAAAGATCAGATAAACAGTATTTATAAGCATCATTAGTGGTGAAATAAATGGAATATACATGTTCTAGAAAAATAAATTCTTTAGGCATCCAGATGAAAAATGAAAGCTCCTAGAAGGGAAGGAAAAAAATCTGATTAGCCTCACAATTCTTCAGAACAGTTAATGCCAGAAGACAATGGAGTACTGTTTTTTAAAACTTCAAGACAAAAATATTACGAACCAAGTATACATTTTACCCAGCAAAGTTGTCACAAAAAAACGGGCAGACATTCTCAAACATAAAAGTCAGAAAATTTAGAACCCACAGAAGACCATCCTACAAAAACTACTTAATGAAACAGAGACAATTAAGGCTTGACTCAAATAAAGAGCTCATGAGTGGACAAGCCAAAGTAAAAGAACTGATGGTGAGTTGGTGAGTACTAAAGCAGTGTACTCATAGAACTAAAATACAAACCACTCAGAAATTTAAGATGTTAGAACAGAATCTAAGAGTTACAAACCTGGAAAACATAAAAATAACAATTTAACAACAATCTAGAATTAAGAATGAAGAAATGGGAAGAATGTGAGAATGTTGCTTCTTTCATACAAAACCAGACCTGTCTAAAATTGAAACATGTAACTTTAAAGACACAGAAAACAAGAAAGGAGTTGTAGCTCAGCTAAGGCAGGAGGATGACTTTATTTTTTTTTTTGAGACAGAGTCTCACTCTGTTACCCGGGCCAGAGTGCCATGGCATCAGCCTAGCTCACAGCAACCTCAGACTCCTGGGCTCAAGCAATCCTGCTGCCTCAGCCACCCAAGTAGCTGGGACTACAGGCATGCGCCACCATGCCCAGCTCATTTTTTCTATATATTTTTAGTTGGCCAATTAATTTGTTTCTATTTTTAGTAGACACAGGGTCTCACTCTTGCTCAGGCTGGTTTCGAAAACTCCTGACCTTGAGGGATCCACCCGCCTCAGCCTCCCACAGTGCTAAGATTACAGGCGTGAGCCACCGCGCCTGGCCCAGAAGGATCACTTGAGGCCACGAGTTCAAGACCAGCCTGGGCAACATAGCAAGACCCCATCTCTACAAAAAAAATTTTTTAAAACAATTTAGCTGGGTGTGGTGGCACATGCCTGTAGTCCCAGCTACTCTGAAAGGTGAGGCCAAGAGGATCATCTGAGTCCAGGAGTTCGAGTCTATACTGAGATATGATCACACCACTGCTCTCCAATTCTCCAATCTGGTCTACAGAGTTAGACCCTGTCTTTTTTTTTTTTTTTTTTTTTTTGAGACAGAGTCTTGCTTTCTTGCTCAGGCTAGAGTGAGTGCCGTGGTGTCAGCCTAGCTCACAGCAACCTCAGACACCTGGGCTTAAGCAATCCTGCTGCCTCAGCCTCCTGAGTAGCTGGGACTAAGGCGTGTGCCACCATGCCTGGCTAATTTTTCTATATATATTAGCTGGCCAATTAATTTCTTTCTATTTATAGTAGAGACGGGGTCTCGCTCTTGCTCAGGCTGGTTTCGAACTCCTGATCTTGAGCAATCCATCCGCCTCGCCCTCTCAGAGAGCTAGGATTACAGGCGTAAGCCACCGTGCCCGGCCCTGTCTTTCTTTAAAAAAAAAAAAAAAAACCAGAAATGTTTTCTGCAAATCAGCACAAATTTTTAATGACTGGCAATACCCAGTGTCGACAGAAACACTGGGAAAGGGACCTTTTCCACACTACTGGTAGGAGAGTAAATTGGTATAAAATTTTATTAGGCAATTTGGGAAGCTGTGTCAAAATTTTAAACATAATTCTTAATAAAAGTAAAAGGATCCATCATTTTCAATGTACTTCCAAAACCTGGATCTATTCACCCTCTCGCCAGCCTGCTATGGCCAAGCCCAAACGGAGACGGGGAAAACCGAAACAAAAAAATCCGAAGCCAAAGCAAAAGCTGAATGATAGAAAATGTTTATGTGAAAATCCCCATCACTGAAGCTTTCTCTCCCTATGGTGCATGGTTTGAACAGTGTCTCGAGGTGGAGCCGTAGAGGAGGCACTCAGTCACGAGGGCTACCCCTCATGAAAGGATTACTGCCAGTTACAGAGAGGCTTGAAGCTGGGAGTTTGACCTCTTGCTCTCTCTGGCCAACAAAGCCTTCCACCATGTTACAGCACAGCAAGAAGGCCCTCACCAGGCGTTGGCCCTGATATGCCTGGCCTGTGGTATCTGGCCTTCAGAACTGTGAGAAATAAATTCCTGTTCATTATAAATTAGCCAGTCTTTGGTATTTTGTTAAAATAGCATAAACCAGGCAAAGACATATGGTTTACATTGTTAGATTCTTGGAGCAGAATCCAGGTCTTATTTGGACTCAGAACTTTATAGAATATAATGCAGTATCTACTAGAAGGTAGTTTTAAGATGCATTCAGGAGTGGTGGCTCACGCCTGTAATCCTAGTACTCTGGGAGGCCGAGGCGGGAGGACCGTTTGAGCTCAGGAGTTCCAGATCAGCCTGAGCAAGAGTGAGACCCCATCTCTACTAAAAATAGAAACAAATTAATTGGCCAACTAAAAATATATAGAAAAAATTAGCCGGGCATGGTGGCGTGTGCCTGTAGTCCCAGCTACTGGGGAGGCTGAGGTAGAAGAATCGCTTGAGCCCAGGAGTTTGAGGTTGCTGTAGCTAGGCTGATGCCATGGCACTCTAGCCCGAGCAACAGAGTAAGACTCTGTCTCAAAAAAAAAAAAAAAAAAAAAAAAAAGATGCATTCTGGTTTTTCCCCTTTATTTAACATCAACCCTGTAGAAGAATGAAAGGAATTACCAAAAGGAAGTATGTTGTCATTAAGCAACTATGTCAGTTACATGTCGTAATGCTCTTAATACAGAATACGGCTCAAAATTTAAATATGCTTACTCCTAAGTCCAAGTCTGTCTATAAGCACTGCTTTTAGAATAAACTAGTTTATCTCACTTGATCATACCTGTTAGCCAAACTGTACACCCACGAAAGCCACCTCTGGTCCCCACCACCTGACCTCTCTTGTTCCGGCTGACATGGTGGGCTTGATAAGTAACATTAGTTGCTCTCTGCATCCCCTGGAAAAAAGAAAAAGAAGGAAAAGAATTCTGGTTCATTTGAGTCCTTTAAAAGGTAAATACAATAATAAAAAAAAAAAAAAGGTAAATACATATTCCTTACAAACACACAGTCAGCACCCTATGCCAAAACGAAGAAAAAAGGTAATGCTAACATTTAGTCTTTTTTTTTTTTTTTTTGGAGACAGAGTCTCTCTTTGTTGCCCAGGCTAGAGTGAGTGCCGTGGCGTCAGCCTAGCTCACAGCAACCTCAAACTCCTGGGCTTAAGCAATCCTGCTGCCTCAGCCTCCCGAGTAGCTGGGACTACAGGCATGCGCCACCATGCCCGGCTAACTTTTTCTATATATATTAGTTGGCCAATTAATTTCTTTCTATTTATAGTAGAGACGGACTCTCGCTCTTGCTCAGGCTGGTTTCGAACTCCTGACCTCGAGCAATCCGCCCGCCTCGGCCTCCCAGCGTGCTAGGATTACAGGTGTGAGCCACTGCACCCAGCCTAACATTTAGTCTTTTTTTTTCTTTAGCATACTAGAATGGTATTTAGTGCTTTAAATAGGTCAATTAATTTAATTCTCACAGCAACCTAATGATGTAGGTACTCTTACTATGGTGGTTTTACAGATGAAGGTATTAAACCTGAGAAAAGTTAAATAACTTGCCCAAGATAGTAAGTGGTAGACCAGAGCCTAGCCTTTTCATGTGTTCATTTAGTCATTCATTCCACCAGCATTTACTGAGGCTCTGCTAGTATTCCAAATGAACAAAACAGGTCTCCATCTTCTTGATTTTGCACAACTATAGGCTAATGTAAGTGTTCTGAGCACGTTTACATTCAACAGGTTAGGTGTACACATGCATTTTCAACTTGCAATATTTTCAACTTATGATGGGTTTATCAGAACATAACTCCATCATTAAGTCAAGGAGGCTTTGTACTAAAAATCATTGAATTGTATACTTTTTAGATGGGTCAGCCAATTGGTATTCACATTATATCTCAATAAAGCTGTTTTCTAAAAAAAAAAAAAAAATTACTTAGCCTTTATTTCCTCTTCCTAGGAAGAAAAACACATAATTTGGATTCTTTTCAATGAGTTATATTGTTATACAATAGATGTCATCATTATTTTATCTTTCAAAGCAGACTTATTCATCATTCATTTATTCAAAAATATTTACTGAATGCATACTACATTCTTGGTGCTGATGGAACAAGTGAACAATACTGTTACAAATCACTCTTCTCAGGGAGCTTGTAAGCTAGTGTGGTGGTTCCCAGAGTGTGCTGACCAGCAGCTTCAGGGTCTCCTGGGAATATGCTGAAAATGAAATTCTCAGATCCTGACCCAGGTCAACTAAGTCAGAAACCCTGAGGTGAGGCCCCAAATCCTGCATTTTAACAAGCCCTCCAAGTAAGTCTGATGCAAGCTCAAGTTTAAAAACCACTAGAAGTCCTTGCCTGCGAGAGTGGCCACTGCGTTGGTGCTCTGGGGCTTGGACCCTGGCTAGCCAGAAAATAAACCTCCTCTTGTGTGATTGCATCCTCGATGTCTCTGCTTTTCTGTCCGGTGGGGCTGTGGAAGGTCGGTCCCTAACATTTGGGGGCTTGTCCGGGATTTGCCTTCCCCACAGACTATTCGGATAGAATTCAGGGCTGAGGGAGGAGTGTGAAAATCCACCCCGGACTAGCCGGGTGTGGTGTTGGGTAAGGGATGCGGAATCCCCTTGCAGGACCCCGGATCAGGACGCCAGCACTGGACCTAGGCAGCAGACGCGCTGGTGGGTCGCCGGTAGGAGCCAGGCAGAGACGTCCTCTGGCCCCATTGGGACTCTGGAGCTGACCTTGTAGCCAAGGGCTCGGTCAGGAGGAGACCAGGGAGTAGGTCCAGACCAGGTTAGGTTGTCTGTTTACCTCACTGTCCACTTGTCTGTTGTCTGCTTTGTTTGTCACCGGCTTTCTGTGTGTGTGTGAGTGAGTGTGACATCTCTCGTTGGCTTGTTGGAGTCTCTGGGTTCTGTGGTTTCAGCCCGAGAACCCATCAGGGTTGCATGGGTTTTCGGGCTGGGGCCGTGGAATCAGGGGACCCACGAAAAGATCCGCAGGGGCGACTAAAACCTCCAGGTGAGTATTCCCCTGCATGGGCTGGCAGCACACAGTGTATCTCCTGCCGCCCGCGCCAGGAGTGGCTAGTGCGGGAGGGGCACGGCCGTTACCTCCGTAGGGAGTGTGAAAGGCTAGGGATTCAGATCCTTGTCCCCAGGGCCCCAACTGCAGAATATCGGTTTGCACATCTGCCTATTATCGACTAGCCATGGGACAGGCTCTAACAACGCCGTTGTCCATCCTGGTGAGCCATTTTAAGGATCTCAGGGCAAGGGCACACTACCTGTCCCTGGAGGTCAAGAAGGGAAAGTTTTTTACCCTTTGTGAGGCCGAGTGGCCCACGTTTGGAGTGGGGTGGCCCAGGGAGAGCTCGTTTGATGCCTCCTTGATCGAAAAGGTAAAAGGTGGTATTTGGCCACCACAGCCACCCTGATCAGATCCCCTATATTGTGGTCTGGCAAGACTTGGTTCTAGACCCGCCACCCTGGCTGAAGGCCTTCCTACCTGCCCCGAGGGGAAAGGCGGAAGTTCTGGCAGTTAAGGAGGTCAGAAAGGAGAGGGCACGGAGTCTGGGGTCCGTTGGGACGCCAGTGTTGCCGGACTCCAATCTCCGAGAATCTGAGAGACCTAATTAATCTTTTAGACTCTGTTCTTTTTACTCATCAGCCCACCTGAGATGACTGCCAGCAGCTGCTTAAGGTGCTCTTCACAACGGAGGAGGGAGAAAGGATTCAGGGGGAGGCGCGGAAGCTGGTTCCGGGGGAGAACGGCAGACCTACTACAAACCCGCCAACCATCGACCAAACTTTTCCCCTTGAACAGCCGCTTTGGGACTACAGTGAGGCTGAAGGTAGGGAGCGTCTCCTAGTCTATCGCCAGACTCTGATGGCCGGTCTCCGTATGGCGGCGCGAAAGCCAACTAATTTGGCCAAGGTAGGAGACGTTCATCAGGGGACAGAGAGCCCAGCAGCATACTTAGAGAGGATCATGGAGGCCTTCTGACAGTACATCCCCATAGATCCCACAATGGAGGAGAATAAGCCGCTGTTATAATGGCGTTTGTCAATCAGGCAGCCCCGGACATTAGGCGCAAGGTGCAGAGAATAGATAGATTAGGCAAGAAGACTCTGCAGGATCTGTTAGAAGTGGCGGAGAAGGTCTATAACAATGGAGAGACGCCAGAAGAGAGGTTAGACAGGATCGGGATAGAAGATAGGAAATTCCAAGCTGGGGAAGCACGGAAAGCAAACAGAGAGATGGCTAAAATCCTGCTAGCCGCCACAAGAGGGGGGCAGATAGGGTCAGAGGATAGGGAAAGGCCCCGTCGGGAGAGGCTAGGAAGGATCAATGTGCCAATTGCAAGGAGCATGGGCATTGGGCCCGAGAGTGCCCCAAAAAGAAAGGGGGGCAAAGACTTGGAGGTCCTGAAAATTCATGGTTGCAGGACAGGTGACAAACGAATAGGGAAGACGGGGTTCGGTCCCCCTCCCCGAACCTAGGGTAACTTTGCAAGTGGAGGGGAACCCAGTCAGCTTCCTCATAGATACAGGAGCAGAACATTCAGTACTAACGGAAGACACAGGAAAATTGTCCAGTAAGACCAGTTGGGTGCAGGGGGCAACAGGAGCCAAACTATATCGGTGGACCACACGGCAGAGACTGGATTTGGGTTCGGGACAAGTGAGTCACGCCTTTATGGTCATCCCTGAGTGCCCCACACCACTACGGGGAGGAGACATCCTTACCAAGCTTAAGGCTCAAATTCATTTTGAAGAGGGAGTAATAATAACTGATAATAATCTCATCAACAGCCCCCGGGTCACTCAGATCCTGACCCTGACACAGGCAGATGAATATAGACTGTACTAGCCCACAAAAAGCAGAGAGGAAGGCATGGAGCATGGTCTGTGATTTCCCATGGCGTGGTCGACAGGGCACAGGATGGGCAAAACACCCGGCCCCTCTTTATGTTGAGTAAAACCCAGAGCCGAGCCAGCCGAGTCAGACAGTACCCCATGCCCAGGAAGCCAGAGTGGGAATTACACCCACATTCGAGACTCCTGGACAGTGGGATTCTCCGGAAATGCAGTCAGCCTGGAACACCCCTGTTCCGGTGAAGAAACCAGAGGGGTAAGGACTATAGGCCTGTGCAAGACCTCAGAGAGTCAATGCAAGGCCCTGGATATCTACCCTACAGTCCTAACCCTATACTCTGTTGAGCTCTCTCTCTCCCACGCTGTCTTGGTATACCATCCTAGACCTAAAGGATGCCTTCTTTAGCCTGGCGGTGGCCGACACGCAGCCAGGAGATTGTCGCCTTTGAGTGGCAGACAACGAGAGAGGAATTCATGGGCAGCTGACGTAGACGAGACTGCCCCAGGGGTTTAAAAACTCGCCTACCCTGTTCAACGAGGCCCTCCATGATGACCTTGGTGAGTACCTAACTGATCACCCAGAGGTGACTCTGCTGCAGTCCGTGGATGACTGGCTGTCAGCTGCAGCTAACCCCGGGGCCTGCCTAGAGGGCACCAAAGACTTACTCAAAGTATTAGGCGAGTTGGGGTACCGAGCCAGTACAAAGAAGGCTGAAATTTGCAAGGATGAAATCACCTATTTGGGATATAAAACAAAAGGTGGCCGAAGGTGGCTAACCGAGACAATGAAGCAGACTGTGTTAAAGATACCCACTTCGAGCCGAGAACTGAGGGAATTCCTGGGGTCGGTGGGTTACTGCCACCTCTGGATTCCAGGGTTTGCAGAAAAGGCTCGACCTCTGTATGAAGGGTGTAAGGCGGGGCAAGCAAGGGAGTGGACTGTGCAAATGGAAGCGGCTTTTCAGGCCCTGAGGGCAGCCCTGCTGGAAGCCCCGGCCCTAGCACTCCCTGATCCTACAAA